CTCATCCTTCCATCTCCTCCTATACACTGGTACACCAGTCCTGAACTCAGAGGAAGCTACAGCTTCCAAGTTGACAATACAAGGCTTAGAACATAAATACTGAACTGAAACCTCAGAACTGTTCAGAACTTTCTTTTCTAAAATGTTTAAATGAATAAAGTCCACATGATCCATGTTTTGTTCAAACTGTGGAGTAACTGCTGTTGTTCGTAATGTCTCCTTTCCAAATGATGGCATAAAATTCTGGAAAAAAAAACCCAAAACATGTTAACCAGACAATTTAAATTTACATGATTGCTAATATACTTGCAGCAATAACAGAACACTGCACAAGCAGAAGGTTTATATACCATACTTAAACTCTAAAACACCAGGATTCTTTCACACAGCAAGTAGACATGGGTTACTGGAGAGCAGTCATCAAGGTTATAATGGTAACAACTCCCCTACACCAAGTTCTCAAATTTACACACGCTTCTACAAAGTGTATTTACAGGGTGTATCCTGCAGCCCTTCCGCAAGTGGAATCCGGTCGAAGATAGTGACTTACACGTCATGCTATTTACACATGCTTCTAGGATCAGGCCTAAAGAGTATATACTAAAATGTACTGGCATTTTTTCATCGTATTGTTGTTCACTAGTACCGCTGCAACCTGATGTTTCTGTATCTTTTAAAAAAGCTAGCTAATTTTGTTACCCCTCATGCAGGTACCTGAAGGGCAGAATAACAACTAAGGCAGCTCACAGTGGTTTCCTGAGAATGAATTAATGTTCATAAAGCGTTTAGGAGATTATTATTGAAATGTTCCTGAAGATGGACTCACAAATCTGAGGAGAAAAAACAGCAAGCAGCATTTGCTCAGCTTTTGCTCTCCACAGCTATGCACATTATAGTATACTTTGAGAGTGAGTGCTTGGACATACACCAGGATTATCCTCCATGCTGAAGTTCTTGTCTCTAAGGCTTCAAACAGCTTCTTTTCTTTCTGCTCTGCAGCCAGCGTCCGGCTTGATGCACTGCCAAGGATACTGAGGATTACTCGGCTCAGAGGGCCAGTCACCAGCACAGCACTTCTGCCAGATCCCCTGACCCACTAAAATATTCAGAATTGTCACCTAGGGAAGCTGGTCGTTAAGATTGCTTAACATGAGAAGACCTGTCTTGGGTGACTTTTGACTTTGCTAAGCTCAAACAAATCGAACTGAAATTTATCTTGGATATCTACCTTGGATTGATGGCTTTTTCACTGTGAGTCTCAAAGTATTTAAAAGATCTAGCCAATTCGTTAGTACATTTCTAATTATAAGAATCCTGTGCCGTACACCTGGAGGACAAGACCTTGTCCACAATCCAATATGGTGATCAGTAAAAGTCCCTAATAATAAACTATTTTGCCTTTTATTTCTTAAGAATATATTGACAGTCCTTGAGAGCTATACTGAAAAAACATCAAGCCAGCAAAACCTGGGAAAGTGTAAGTATTAGGAAAAGTCAGAACTAAGTTTACCCGTAGTATTTCCTTGTTCCTATATATGAGGATTTTGGATTTAACTATGGGAGCAAATGCTATTTTTCCCCTGGATCCCTGCCTCCTTAAAGGCACAAAAGAGCTCTAGAGTTGCAAGTAGAACACAACTGTGCGTCAAGGAGACTATCTACCCCAAAACCTTGAATTTAATTAAGACAGAAGCTGGAAGACATAACTGAATGAGGGAACTGTTGGATAAGAAAGCTGCATACCATTGCTAGCAGCTGGGTAACTCTAGATAACTAGATTTACTTAGTGGTCTTTCTGAACTTGTCACTTAAACCACTTTCCACAAGAACAACTGAGTGCTCTTTATCTTCTTGTGTCCAACAAGAGACGCTGGAAGCCAGATGTGCAGTGACACTGAACACTCATAAACACATGCGTAAGCACCAAGATACACACTTTGAACAAATAAAATGCTATGAAGATGCAAAACACTCCACAATGCCAGCATCCAGGCTTTCTACAACAGGTGGTCTCCTCAGAGTGACAGCCTTCCTCTCTGCTTCATTTCTCATTCTATAAAATGAATATTGTAAAAACGATGCATGCTGAACAGCAATAGGAGGCTGGTGTCCATTAGAAAAGTTACCACCATGTCACATAATAACACACATGCACAAATACTGATATCAAAGTTGATGAGAGAACCTTAATTTTAATACTGACTCAAATATCTTTCAGAGATTGACTTGACAAAGATACTATTCTTTTACGTTTCCTACATTATTCTTCTTTGATTATAGACACCTCTAAAAGCATTAAAAGCACATAGCAGCAACCACAAAATATTCTAAACCTCTTCTGCTTGATGGTTATCATTCATATTTCTTACATATTTTTTCATGCTACAATAAAGAACACTAGAAAACAGCTTAATCCTTGTGATATAGGGGCTGTATCATGAGGAAGATGGCAATATATTATGAAAGTAATGCCACGTGGTCATCACAAAATGTAGAAGTCTATCAGCTAGACACTACACAGCATTGTGGTACCACTGTGTGCTTACCACACACATGCATTCAATGTCAAAATACACACAGCCAGTTCTCAATTTTCTCAGGGTTTTATCCAATACAGACATATGGAAGCTGGCCTTCAGCAAAGACAGCTTGGGTCTAGCAGAGGTCATTAACAAAGACACAGCTGTGTATGAATGTGGCCATCAGACTTCCAGCAAATGGCTTAAATTTTGTGATGGGGCTCCCAAGGTAGTAAGCTCTGCAACCCAAAGCCAGTTCCTTGTAGAACAAACTTCACAATGTTCCTAAAGCACCTGAGCACGATGTCCTGCCACTGCTGACGCAAAAGGTTAGCTTCAGCAGTGCTGGTCTTACTGCATTTTCCTTAGTGCCTGTTACACTAAATGACTCCCACAGAATTATTCAAGAAACTTTTCTTTGTATCCTTTGGTGCCCAGCTATTAGTTGAGACGTGCTGCAAAAATGCATGAAGCATGTTAGGGTCTGCTGTTATACACCACACCTAACAAACCCTTCAGGAAGCTCATCCAGCAAGGAGCACCGTGCAGGGACCCCTGAGCGACCCCACACCGATGCAGCCATGGCAGAGACCGCGGACCGTAAACTCATCCAGAGCATGGCTGAGTCTGTTACCACTTGGCTGCCTCGCCACAGCACTCCCCAGCACACACCATAGCTTGCGTATTATCTAAATGTCCCTACTCATCGAGGAACCCGAGTTCTTCCCTCCCCATTATCTCCGACAAGGCAGAGTTAATAGTGCCTCATCTCTGACTACAAAGAGTGAGGATGAAAGGATTACACAGTAAGTGCGATTATGAGATTTAAATCTAAAACTTTCCAAGCACAGTGAAGAGGCCAGCTATGCTGGATTCAAAACGTTGCCATAAACTAGGCAGAGTTCAACAAGAAAAGCTTTGTTGTGTGGGGCAACTTAGGCACACAGGCTGCAAAAGTTTTTTTTCTTGATCTTTTTCTTAAAACCTGCTGAATCTGAAGGAATTAGCCCAAGTTATCCCACCAGGTGTTGGGATAAAAATCACCATGGGGGACAATCACAGCAAGTGGTAGGGAAATGAAAATTTTCAGTAGTGTAATATTGCAAAGATGATGAGAAACCATTCTTTCGCTTGGTGGAATAAGATCTCAGCAGCACCCTCCCTGAGTTCACCCCTGCTGAAATTCCACATAACCCTATGAAACTGCACCTGTTTGCACAAAGTCTGAAAATAAGTGTAAGTCCTTTACCACCTGTGAACACCTGCCACGTCATGCTAGATTTTAAGACCCATGAAAAGGAGACACACCACAAAGGGTGGTGTTGATCTGCTGCCAGTCAGCATCAGTATCATACAGGCATGCAAAGACTTTAATTGGAGTTTGCGTTTAACAGCATAAAAGTAGTATAGCAGATGCCCCTAAAATGCAGTTGTTGCTGGAAGCAACCTACTCGCGCGTGCAGCTCTAAGTAGAAGTCAAAGGCACCCCTCATTTTTTCAAACCCAGAAATTTGTCACCTAAGACTGAAAGCTTTTTAACACTTTAACGACCTGGCGTCCCCCTAGCTCGGTAGAAGCAGCGTAACCCAGGCTGCTGCAGCTGGGGGAGCCGGGCCAGGCCGAACAACCTCCGGCCCGGCTCCGAGAGACGCCCGCGGCCCCCGCCGGCCCCCCGCTCCGGCGCCCCCCTCCGCCCCACGCTTACAGCCGGCGGCCCCGCCGAGCAGCGCCCTTAGGCCGCGGGGTGCCGGGCGGTCCCCGCCCGCGGGGCTCGGCGCTCCCCCGGGGGCCGCCGCCCGGCCCGGGGCCCTCGTCGCGGCCACCATCTTCTGCCGCCGCGGCGTCGGGCAGGGCCGGGGCCCGGGGGCAGGTGCGGGGCCGGCCGGCACTCACCGTGAGGAGGAGGAGGAGGAGGAGGAGAAGCGGAGGGGGGCGGCGGGAAGGCGCGGCGGGGCGCTCAGCCGGGGGCCGCATGCTGCCGCGGCGGCGGCGGTGCCCAGCACGGCCGGGAGCGTGCGGCCAGCCCCACCGACAAGGATGCGGCAGATCCGGCTTCCTGGAGGAGGGGCCGCCGCCGCCGCCGCCGCCGCCCGGGCCGCGCCTGGCCCCGCGCCGCCGCCGCAGGTGCAGAGGGAGGGAGAGGGCGCGGAGGGGCCGGGTCGGGCGACACCCGGGGACTGAGAGCCCTGAGGGGAGGGGGGTGTGTCCCGGGCCTCCCGGCCGTGCCGCGGAGAGCCCCCCGCGCACCCCCGGACCACAGGCACCGGGGCGACGTCGCGGGAGCGGCGGGACCCCGGCGCAGGAACCGCGTCCTCCCTCTCGGGGGCTCCGCGGCGGCTCCCCCCCCCCCCCCTCCTGCCTCGGCGCCGCGGGGCGGCGGCTGCCCAGGAGGTGCCGCCGCCCGCCCGGTGGGGCGCGGCGCGGCGGGGCTGTGGCGGCGGCACCGCCGGCCCGCGCGGGGGCGCTGCTGGCCGCCGCGCCGTTCCGGGCTGCGGGCGGAGGCCGCAGGTGTCTTCCTGCTCCGCTTCCGGGTTGCGGCCGTCGGCGGCCATGGCGGGGCAGTTCCGCACCGTCGGTATATTCGGCGGCTTCGTGGCCGTGGTGGTGGCGGCTTTTTACCCCATCTACTTTCGGCCGCTGCTGCTGCCGGAGGAGTACAGTGAGTCCCTGCGCGGGGCGGCGGGGCGGGACGGGACGGGACGGGAGCGCCCGGCGTGCCCGGGCTGAGGGTGTGCGGGGAGGCTGCCGCTGGGTCAGCGGCTCCCGAGGGGTTTTCTGCTCGCCTAAGAGATACTTAAGAAAAATAGTAGTGAAGCTCGTAGCACCCTTGTTTCAAGTTATTGGCCAGCGTGTGATTAAGAACCCGCCCTGTAGCTGTTTTCTGAAGTGATTGCAGGGATTGAGGTGGAGTTAAGTTACGATCGGGGGGGGGGGCTGGAGCAGCTCCCCTGTGAGGGCAGGCTGAGAGAGTTGAGGTTATTCAGCCCGCAGAAGAGGAGGCTCCGGTGAGACTTTATAGCGGCCTCCCAGTACTTAAAGAGGGCAACAGGAGAGGTGGGGAGGGACTCTTCAGTAGGACCTGTTGCAGTTAGGCAAGGGGTAATGGTTTTAAACTAAAAGTTAATGGATTCAGACTAGATAGAAGGAAGAAATTTTTACAATGAAGGCGGTGAAACACGGGAGCAGGTTGCCCAGAGAGGTGGTAGCTGCCCCATCACTGGAAACGAAATTCAAGGCCAGGTTGGACAGGGCTCTGAGCAACTTGATCTAGTTGGAGATTTCCCTGCTCATTGCAGGAGCGTTGGACTAGATGACCTTTAAAGCTCCCTTCAAACCCCAAGTGTTCTGCGATTCTCTAAGTTGTTTGAGTTACGTTTTCCAGCTACAATTGAAAAATGTAGCTTAAAATGTGGTAACAGATTTTTTGCCAATTGTGATAGTTTGCTAAGCTGGTCTCAGTCTGCAGTTTTATCTGAAACTGACTGCTGAGGCAAACCCCACTTCCCTGCCAGAAACACAGAAAACCCACCAAGGCCCACCACCAACTCTGTAACCAGGAAGCTCTCGAGCACTCAGAGGCCCATGAAGTTTTGAGTGTGAAGCCTCCGAAGTTCCAGATGGGCACACTTGTCCGTGGGAGCTGTAGGGGGAGTGCCTGTTACCCCTAAACTGGTGTTAACTACTGCTGGAGGAAGCAGGGAAAAGTTCTGGTGTAGCTAGCCTTATTCCTTCAGTTTAACTTTTATAAAACCAAGCAAGCTGTTGGCGATAACATAAAGATGCATGTGGTTAATCTGCTGAGACAACTGAAGAAATTTCTAGGAATAAAAAAAAAAAAAAGGTGTAACAAACTTCCTGATCTTCTTGAATGGACTTTAGCCTTGCATCAAAGCTGAAGTAACATTTAACTTGCAAGCAAGTTTTTATTTAAGGAAGCTAGGAGTGTGAAGTTGGAAGCTGCCCACAAAGATAGGTTTTCTACTCTGGGTTCCCATTCAAAAACCTTATTCTTAATTCATTTTTGCTTATGGTGCACTTTCCAAAAATATAATATTATGTGTGACTTTGCATTAACAAAAGAATAGAACTAGCTGATAGTGTCCTCTTTTGTACTTTTGAATTACATGAGCAAATGTTCCCTAGCAGGTTAAGGATTTTTTAATCTTCCTTGAGCACATAAAGTGAGTGATGGACAGTTAGCAAGTGCTCAAACTTGCTATTTAATACCTGACTCTAAACTTTACTTACTGCATGCTGCTCAAACTCTCTTTTCATCTCACCGTTGTTAATTTCCTATATGCTTTTCTTGATGCTTACCACTTCAGTGTCAGAGAAGGACAAGCTTTTGTTGTCATAATACTTTAGACAAGAACATGGAATTTCATAGTTGTGGTACTTGAGCGGAAGTATTTTAACTTTTGGGGTATAAAGGATTTGATTTTTTCAGAGCCCAGTCTAGTAAGCTGTATGACAACTTCTGTAGAAGCTCACACCCCTCATTGGCTTGAGCTGTGGGTGAATACTCAGTATTTCTGTGGTTTGGGATGCTGGATACGAAATTGGACATTTGGATTAGCGTCACATAGCAATCCTGCAAAAGGCAAGAATTGATTTTAGTTCTCTGAGTGACATTCAAGTATGTAAACATGAAATGCTATCTTTTCTTTCTTCAATCTTATTTTTCTTCTGTATCTCCCAAATTCTACACAAATGAGGCACACATGTTGAGGAAGAAGACTTTTCTGCACAATTCTCCCACATCTTCAGAGGAGTCCCTAGCAGTTTAGCAAATAAAGTGGAAGAAACTTGGAAAAACTGTATGTAGTCAAATTGTTAATATGAATCTTAAATTATGCACGCAGGGGTTTTATTTAATTTCATATAAAAATGCTATCATTTTGTAGGTTTTGTGTACCTCAGTTTGTGGCCTTGATGTTTCTAGCTTTAAAAAGACTGTTTCCTCATATGAAGCATGTAGTTTAGTGGCTGTGTTAAAACTTTGAGGTCTTTGGCACAGACCTCTTCCACTTGGATTAATTCAAACAGTGGGTTGACAGCTGCTAAATGGATGCCAAATGGATTGATACTGGGGCATTTTCACAGTAGATTTTGTGATTTTGCTGAATTGTGAGACTCCATTCCTTCCCTATCCTGTGAGGTGGCTATCCTCCTGTCAAGACTGTCTCTTCCTCATTGTCCTTTTTTTGGCTTACCTGTTTTCCAAGTTGTTTCCAGGCCCCACACCAGCCTCCCTATTGACTGTGTCCTATCTCCACATTTCTCATCTGTTACTTCTCTGTGCTGATTTCTTTGCTTAAGCAGCTAACAGCTCTTTCTGTTCACCCCAACTGTGTTCCTAGACCTCTCAGAGACCAAAACGTGAATCAGCCTCTCTTCTGATCTTTTCAGTCTCTGCCTAATGCTGAATATCCTTCTCTTCCATGTCCTACAATGTCTGATTTCTTGCCCTAATTTATTCTGTTTTGTCTGTCTGAGTTTTGTACCTTTTCCTTTGAAATTAGACAGTTCCCAGGTAGTTTCAGCAGTTAGTCTACTAAGAAGAATGGATTGGCAATTGCCATGCTCAGTGAACAGAACTAGAGAAGCTGGATCTGCTTCTAGCGCCTTCCCTGTGCAAGTAAAATCAATATGCCTGTGCCACGGTGTAAACCCAGCCAACAGCCAAACACCTCGCAGCCACTCAGTCACCCTCCCCCACCCCTGAGGAGTGGGGGAGAGAATTGGAGGGGTAAAGGGAGACTTGTAGGTTGAGATAAAAACAGTTTAATAAATGATATAAAATAAAACAATAACAATAAGCGAAAGTACAGGTGGGTAATGCACAGTGTAATTGCTTACCACTTGCTGACTGATACCCAGCCTGTTCCTGGCTAGTGATCCCGAAAACCAGGATCCCAAAACTGCAATTCTGGAAGTGAGAGAGAACCCCCTCCTTCCGGCCAACCCTCCTTTATGTACTGGGTGTGGTGTTACATAATATGGAATATTTCATTGGCCAGTTTAGGTCCAATGCTCAGGCTCTGCTCCCTCCCAGCTTCTTGTGCACCTGCGCGTGGGCAGGACGTGGGGAGTTGGAGAGTCCTTGATCTCTTAGCAAGAACTGAAAACATCAGTGTATTACCAGCATTCTTCTCTTGCCAAATCACATACTGAACCCAAAACACAGCACTGTTCTAGCTACTAAGAAGAAAAATTAACTCTATCCCAGCCACAACCAGGACAGCCTACTAGTCTCCGGTAGCATTAGGCCTGTACCTAGACAGCCTAATAACATGTAGTGCCTGTGCGTTCTTGGTGGGATAGGATGCTTAAAAAAGTTTTAGTTTTAAGGTGAGCTTAGTTCTGAGTTTCCCCTGAGAATGTGCACCCTACAATTTGTTAAAGGCTTAAAAAGTTAAGTGGTATAGGCAAAAGGCTAATCCAACTGAGTTTGACTTTCTGCTTTGAAGTACCACAGTGGTGAAGTACTTAACTGGATGAGGGGGAAAAAAGGAGAAGCCTTTAATAAGGGGAAATAATATAGTTTTGCCATCTCTTCTTGGAAGTGGTTGAATCTTTCAAAGAGGAAAAAAAAAAAAAGCCTGAGACAGGTCCATTGTATGGAAAAATATCCTTTGACATTTAATTTCATGAAGTTTATAAGCAGTAATTTTGTAGATGCTGTCATGAAATCTGCTTGTGATAAGATGAGAGATCTTCCAGGGCTTGAAAATGGGGATCACTGATTCTGGAAAGAATAAATCTTTTGAAGAGTTGTATGTTGAGCATATGAGCAATAGCTCCTAAAAACATTAGTCATTCCTTAATTGATGGGATCATGGTGGGTATTTTGTCATCTTTTATTAGACAGTAGTCATTGTAATCTCTCAAAACAGACTAGCTGTTACTTTCTCAGTGAAGTGTGAATACAACATTTGCGTTGTGTAGGTGGACACTCACCATAATTTTACTGTGTAGCATCCATAACAAATAAAATTTTCAATATTATTTTATTGTTGGGTGCAGTCAAGATGACTGGTATTTTTTTTTTTTTTTTCAGTAGTGTCCTTTCTGTTTTGTTTTCCAGAGAAACAACAGTCATTAAACCGAGCTGGTGTTGTTCAAGAGGATATTCAGCCTGCAGGTATACTTGATTCATGAGTTTGTATTGATTGTTTTAAAGACCTTCTTGAAGTAAGACCTGGATATTTATATGGATTTAAATAATAGAGTGAAGACAAACTTACCATGAAAATTGTTTTTTCAGGCTAATGCTTCACTTGAAAATTATGGATTTAATGAAACTTGTTTTAAATTAACTGGCTAAAGAAGTTGCAGAAATTCTGTTATCTTCACACTTTGTTAAACAGATGCCTGTTTCCACAGCAGAAATTAACTTCTGAACCTGCTCAGAGCAAACAAGAACCATGGGTGGGCTGAGCTTTAAAAAATATTGCACCCTGGTTTTGTGGAATACTGCTTTGCAACTCAGCTGAAACACAATTTATGAGCACTTTGTCAGTAACTTCCAGCCTCATGGGTGGAGGGGTAAGGCAGAAATCTGCTACATGTAAAGGCAAATTTGGAGTGCAGTGGTAACTATTTTTTTGATCTCTGCTGTTGCCGGGGGAAGGCATAGAAAAGCATTTGAGGGGAATAAAATTGAAGTATGGCAGACTATCCATGAGAGTTCGTTGTTTCATAGGTAATGGAACTGGCTGTTCATTATGCAAGGTTGGCACTTCTTGTTTAAGGACATGAGAGTGCTTGTCTTGGTGAAACAGTTCATATCTGAGTATGTTAAAGGGTAATGTATTCCTATTTTTAGAAAAGCATAACATCAGCAGCAGGGGAAAACCAAATATGATTAATGTCATGTCCTTACTATACGTATCAGTTAAGTCATCAGTGCAGGACTTACTTTCCAGGAAAGTGGCAAAATGCTGAAGAGGGATAGGAAGGCCATTGTGAAATACAAGTCTGGTAAACCTGCCTTTTTCAATTAAACATTAAAGAGGACTGTACTGGCTCTTTTATCCAAGACGCAGGTACTTGATGACCGGTTCTCCTCAGTATAACTTTTCCATCTAAATTTAGCTGCTGATGAGAAGTTACGAGATCCACTAGTTGTAAGTGCAATCTAGACAAATTCAAGTGCAAGGTGCAATTCTAGATGGTTGTTCCAACAGTATTAGAACACCTTACATATAGGTGTGATAGGTTTTTCTGGTATCTGAAGCTTAGAATCAAGGTGAGGTTGTCTTTCTAAATATTTTTTCAATCTTAAGCAGAGTTGTGAGTTTGGTGCAGAAATTGTTAGGTTCTTTCATTGTTTTGTACAGAAGGCTGGAGTAGCAGACCAATTTTTTTCTTTCTTTCTTTCTCCCAACAGTCTAGTTATGAACTGCTGGTATTCTCTGATTTGTAGGGTTAAAAGTGTGGTCTGATCCATTTGGAAGAAAGTAATGTTGACGGCTGGGTGTATTGCAAGGCAAAACTGAAGATGGACATCTTCAGCTGTTTCTTCTTTCACTGAAGTGTGTCTTTGGGTGTCGCTGGAGAAGAATTCTGAATATGCTGTGTGGGCACATGAGGAGCAACAAAGGCTACTGGTTGGAATCCCAAGAGATAAAAACATGCTAGTTTTGACAGAGGATGCTGGGGCATAGTGCACAGACTGTTAGAGCACTGAATGATCCTTGAGTTTAGAAGTGAAATATTTATTTCCTTGGGAAAAGGGAAGAGAAATAATTATTTTTTTTGTTAATTTGTAAACACTTCTAGAATAAGATATGAATAGAATAAATCATGCAGACCACTGCAGTTTCCTCCCTAGCTTGAGAATTACATTTTGTTGTTTTGTTATGAAAATATGATGGAAGTATATACCGAGAGAGATCAGTGCAGAAAATATAAAACGGTGAGTGTAAATTTGTACATTAAAATTTCTTCCTTTTAAACCAATGTGTACTTTTTTTCATTTGTTTTGCAAGTGGGTGTGATGGGTTAACCTTGGCCAGCTGCCAGGTGCCCACGCAGCCACTCGATCACTCCTGGTCCTCAATGGGACAGGGGGAGAAAATAGGATGACAGAGCTCATGGGTCCAGATAAATACCGAGAGATTGCTTACCAGTTACTGTTTTGGGTAAAACAGACTTAGCTTGGGGAACATTAATGTAGTTTATTGCCAGTTAAAATAGATTTGGATAGTGAGAAACAGAAATTAAAATAACACCTTCCCACTGCCTCCCTTTTTCCAGGATCAGCTTCACTCCTGACTCCATTTCTTCCCCCCCAGCCGCCTGAGCAGTGGGTGGGGGGTTACAGTCAGATCATAACAGTTCTTCTGCTCCTTCCTCCTCATGCTTTTCCCCTGCTCCTTTGTGGGCTCTTCAGGAGCTGCAATTCCCTCAGGAAATAGCCAACTACTCCGGTGTGGGCTCCACCCCAGGCCACGATGTAGATGTCTGCTACAACATGGTCCTCTCCACAGGCTATGGGGGATATCTGCTCTGGTGGATAGAGCACCTCCTCCCCCTCCTTGTTTTCTGACATGGGTGTTCATACTGCTGTTCCTTACTTCTTCCCCCCTCGTTCCTCTGCTGTCTGATGTTTTTACAAAGGTGCCACCCACCTGGCTGCTGGGCTGAGCTGCGTCTTTGTGGAGCCAGCTGGAAGGGTCTGTGGCCAGCATAGGGCAACTCCTGCAGCCCACCTTCCTTGCTGCCAACCTTGACTGGTACACCTGATACGGGAGCTGAGCATCAAATGCTGGGATAGAAAAGCTGATACTTTAAAGAGTCTTTTTTAAAAAGCACTTTTTCATGGTGAGAACAGGCACGTAAAGGATTGCTCCTACTGAAAGTCTTTACCCAAACTGGATGTTTGTCTTAATAGGTTCTGAATAAACTGTGTGTTTTCAGAGTTCAAAAGAAAGAAACAGTCTGGAACCTATAGTTACAGTCTATAACTCAATCACTGCTGTTCTTGAGTACAGCTATAGCGTGTGCATGTAACTTGAATATACTATCTTTCTCGTTTATTTTTAGCACTTCATTATGGTATGCAATGTTTTAAAGACCATTGCAGGATTGTATATGTTATGAAGAATGTATGTGCAGTGAGTGTTATTTATAAAGTTATAAAATGTTAGTTTGTTATTTTTTTTGGACATCACACAGTTTTATTAAGACAGACGAAAGACTGTTTACAGTGTTCTTTTCCAAACTCCCATTCTGTTACTTGTTATTCCTTTTCTATCTGTCATTCTCATTACCCTACCACTCAGACACATGTTTCTTCCAAGGTTTGTTTTTTTTTTTTTTTAATGTGCGTGTCTCCTGTTATCACTTGTAAGCATTACAATTTTTTTAGTTTGCTTGCTGGGAAAATGTGACCATATTTGATTCCTTTGAGTTCTCAGGTGATTTCACATGATGGCTGAAGCCAGAGTGAGTGCATTCGCTTTAGGGATGTTAGCAGAAATTTTACTGCATAGCACAGAGCAACAGTGTCACAAAGCTAATTTAGTGTTTGCTAGGAAAAGAGGAATCAATTGAACTGAAAAACAAAGAGGTTTTTATCACTTAAAACTTTCTTCAGTGAGACTGCAGAAATAAGGGAGCCTTGGTTGTTGCTTTCTTGAACAAAACATACTTACACATCAGAGAGTTTCATCAGAGTTGTTTTGTCCAAAATACCTTTCCAGTGGAAATACAGCATTGCTTAAATGCGGATACTCCATCTATAACTGACTAGCTGCAAAACAAAGAGTTTTAGGAGAAATGTGGCATTGTTCAGTAATGCCGCTTCTGGCACTTGATGACACAAATGCTTAAAAAACATACATTGTGGTAGTGTGAAACAATTATGAAACCACTCTTTCGGGATAAATGATGTGACAGAAGATACTGAATTACTTAGTCTGGAGTTAGGAGATAAGACAATATCTGCTACTCATTTACTTTGTGAAGTTGAGCAGTTTGCTGGGTCTGGATCTCACCTAGAGAAATGTTAGATGGTTTCAGAACGGTGGCTGTTGCTGGCAGGTGCTGAGCCTTTGCTTTCATATTACTTAAACATTGCAAAACATTTTGAGTACATGAACTCAATTATTGAGCATTTATAGAACTGTACATGTCTATTGGTCATGATCTCAAGTTTGTTTCAGTGAAAAAAAGCTTGGTAAGTTTTGTAATTGCCTGTACAGGATGTGCAGCAGTACATATATTTTGAATACTACTGAAGTGAATCTAAACTCTGAAAATGGTATACACTGGTTTTAATGATTATCGCTTTTCACTTGCTGTGTTCCACTTCATAAAGTGGGCTTTTTGGTCGTGTCTTTAAAGCGTTAGGATAGTGAATGCCTCTCCTAGATACTCAGCAACAAGTGAAATTGAGTATAGCTAATTGTGCTCCCCAGGACTCTTCTCTTACTCTGGACGTAAGAGTTTTTGCTACTTTTGTATCCTGCAACTATTATTTTTCGGCACAATCACACAAAAGTTGTTTGATATGTTTATAATTATGCATAATTTTATATAATTATTAGTATTTGGGAGGGACTAGTCTGCATTTTGGAACCTATTTGCTAGTTTTGGTCCACCTGTTCTGATTGTTCTGATAGAAAGGTTGGGACAAAACATTGGATAAAAATGCCTTCTTAGATTTAAAATGGTTATAATTTATTCTGTAATATGAATGTATTTTGCTTGTTTATACTAGCTGGAATATGGACAGCAAATATAACTTCAGCCTTTGGAGGACTGGAGAAAAGTTTTAAGCAGTGCTTTGACATCCCAACAGAAACACCTGGTTGTACTAAGTTTAGGCCTGCTGTTGTATGCTGATAAATTTTGAAATTATTAGAATTTGTGCCATGAAAAGCAAATCTGACATTTTGGTCTTAAGCGTAGCTTAGTTTTGAAGCATTATAAGCTGTTGATGATGCAATGAAACCCTCAAGCACAAACACTTCAGGAGTAAATATGGCAAAAGATACTGGCAAGTTGCTGGATTATACACATAATATTGTACTTCATTTATTGAGATTGTTCTCACTGATGAGAGGGGATTTTTTTTTTTTCTGTAACACTCAAAGCACATTGAATAGCCTCCAATGATTGTCTCAAATTTTACTGTAGATATGCCCTTCCACAAAAAACAGTCCAGAAAAAGAAGTAGTTCTCGTGATTTGCAGTTTTCTAAACCAAAATAAACCATTTATTTTCCCTTCTTGCAGTCTAGCAATAATTAACTACTCATTTTCTCAGTACTGTGTACACTTCTACTGACCTTCTTCATGTTAACATGCAGACACAGCAGTAAATGAAAAGCTGCATTGGCTTTTTCTGTGGTGTCACACAGCCCAAATAGTATGTTTGCTAGTGAAAGGAAATTATTTTCCAGCTTCTGAGAAAGTGCTGCTGAATATACACTGTTTCCATTTGGACAATGTATAACAGGACAGAGCAAAAAACAAAGTGCAGGTCAAAGCATATTCAGGCTTAGCCTATGATCTGAGGTATATTTGTGCATAGTGCAGACTATGTGGGCCTTGCAAGAAAAATGGTACAGTGTTTAAGACACTGTCTTGGAAATTAGAACTGTTGTGGTCAGTTCCCTGTTCTACCACGCTTTTGTCTGGCAGCAGGTATGTAATTTAGTCTTCGAGCTTCAGTTCCATCTGTAAAATAGCAATAATAGTACTCCCCTTTGTTGGAAGGCATGATGAAGTTAAATACAGGAGTGGGTTTTTTTTCGGTGCTCTAGAAAACATTTTTGGTTCTTGTCTGAGAAGTTTTCTCTATGGTTAGGGGAAGATAGGTTTGGATTTGTGTGGGAATCAGATATTCTGGTTCCAAAAACTTAAAATGTTTTGAAGAACCTTTTCCAAAAGGCAACAACTTCTGAAATTTCCCATGACTTTATGCTGCTGAAATATGCTCTGAGTATGGAAATTTTACATTTTGGGAGTCAAACAGAAAACCTACCTGCTTTTCACAATACTAATGTTTTTTTGAAAGATCTCCAAGTTTTAGTATAAACTTCTACATGTAAATTGAAATGCAACCCAATATGAATGTTATTACAGTGTCACAAAAAAGCAGAAAATTGGTCAGCTTATGTTACTGGCCCAGGTGCCTCAGCAATTTTCAGCATTTTGACTTGCCCCTTCCCTTGTCTTCTGTAACTGGGTCCTCCCTTCTGACCTTTGCATGCCAAAAAAAGTAGCTAAAAGTCTTCTAAAATGTTTTAAGTGCTGAGCAGGGGAAGCTGGGTGACAGTTAAAATAGGTGAGGAAGAACTGGAGATACTGCAGGGAAGAGTGTTCCTTCTGTAGCCCAGGAAGAGCACCTTGGAGGTGGTGTGGTGGGTATGAATTGGAGACAGGACATACTGGTCAGCTGGATGGGCAGGAGCACGAGGGACATAGGACATAAATCCACAGCCTTCATAGGCTCTGCTGCTCACAGAGAAAATCGGGATACCTCTTTCCTTCTTTTGTGTTTCCTCCCCTGCAGATCAGAGGTAAACATTTCTAAAGAAAGTTCCTAGTCAAGACAAGGAGGTTATGAGAAGAGAACATCTAAGGAGAAATTATATAAATATCCTTCTCTCTAGCCTACCTTGAGAGGTCAGAAATCATAGAATAACTTGTATTGGAAGGGATCTCATGCTGAAAAGTATTTTTCAGGTTACAGGGAAAGGTGCCTCCTTTGCTATCTACTTCTTCCTGTAATTCAGTACAGTGAGTATCAGCAATACCAATCAGGGTAGGGGAGGAAGGTACTCCCATTGCTTCAGCAGAGATTCCTGTAGGAGGAGTCCTTCTCCTCAGCCACCCATTCACTCCCAGAACTGGATGGCTCAGGCACAAGTTAGGAATGTATTTATTCTTCCACCCTGGATGAAGAGAAACCACTGTGGATATTAACCAGAAGCATTTGCTCCCTG